GTTTTCTGGCTTCAGCAATAAAGTAAAACACAGCTGATGAATATTACATAACACAGACAAAGTAGGAGTTGCACTTATTTTTGGGCAATTTAGTGAAGAACGTGTTACGGGAAGATCGTACTCTGTATATCTATTCATAAGAACCGACTCCAGAATTAGAAGCTGCAAAACTGAAATTTTGTGTGCACAGTATCGAAAAATATCATTGGGCCATAAAATTGAAACAATTTGCGCTTCCTTTTGTGTTCAGCCATCGGCATCAGGTTTTTTGTCCCATTTTTTTCTGTTTTTTTTTTTTAACTTATGTATTTGCTTCACATTAGTAATTTATAAAATATATACATACATTGCTTATACGATTTAATCTTAATATCTACTAATTCTAATTACCACAACCGTAGTACTGACGACGTCTAATTGTAGTAATGGCAAGAAATGTATACGACTTAATGGACCATTTCTTATCATTTATTACCATCCAAATAATTTTATTAATTTACATATTGCATGACAAATTTTGTAACTCTCATCTCTTACCTTCCTCTCTGTTCATCTCTTTCCATCCGTTTTTAATAAACTTTCCCGTTAATATACTTTCTTATTTAATTTATTCGAGCAAAATTTTCTCTGAGCGGTACACTTGCGCTGCAACTTTTTTTTCATTCGCTGCTTTCTTTGTCATGTGTCCACCTTATGCTTTTGCGTCAATTACTTCTTTGCTTGTGACAGCAGCACTGTGGAACTGACAGTGAGAATAATTTTTGAATGAGTTGTACTTGAATGAAAACATTTTTTACAGAAAAAAAAAAGAATGCATGCAACATATTAGTAAGTAATTCGAATTCTTGTGTTTTTCTCCAACAGCTTAAAGATTTTTCGAAGCACATAGAATGTGATGCAAAAACACTAATGCACATTGTGCAACTGCTTCAGAAAAGACCCAAATGAACAGTTTTGTTTTTCATTTTCTTCAGTATCAACGTGCTTTAGGAGGTGGAACAGCCAGTGGTCCAACAAGTAGTGGCACCACAACCACCCGTCTATTATCCTGTTTACTATCGGCGACGATGTTTTTCGGGTGATACGGTTGTCATTACTGCTCAAGGTAACAAAACGATGCGTCAGTTACAAATTGGAGATTATGTTCTTACTAAAGAAGGTGATTCGGTGAGTTTTTTTTCTTTAAAAAATTTTTCAGATTCAAAAATTTTTTTTTCAGTTTGGTCATCATAGCTGAATTTGAAATCTTTAGCTCATACACGGCAGGATTCCCAAGAAATATCAACTTTTAATCATGTCTGTTTCTCGGAACCGTTCCCTGCCAAAATACTTGTGTCTTAGGCTTACGTGAGATCTAGGTATGCATGAGAGCACCGGTTTTAAAATCGGAGAGTCGTAGAGGGGGTGGAAATATGCTCAAAAAGTTTCAGCTTCATCGTTTTGCTGGTTCTCGAGCTGAAGAAAGGTGGTAAAGGCCATTTAAACACACACTCGCACAGACAGGCAAACATACAAATACATACACACACTGATAACGTCCTGACATAGTGCTGCAACTGTAAGCGAAAACGCAGGCGGCAAAGTAGAATCACCGCACTAGTTGCTTCGTGATTCATGGATTAAACTTGCGAATTTTCGAGATAAATAATTTGTGCATTTGCATTTTGGGTACATATTGGAGTTCCATTTGCCCTGAAAATTTACAGTATAGCACACGTCGATACTTTCAGGTGCGATATACTACAGTGAAATCTTTCCTTCATCGTCTACCAAATCAGGCAACTGACTTTCTCTGGCTGCAACTCTCTGATGGAAATTCGCTGAAAATCACACCATATCATTTCGTTTATCGCACTCAGTGCAACAGTAAGAGGCCAACTATTCATATGCTTTATGCAAATGAGCTGCAAGAAGGCGATTGCTTGTTCACTGTCAATTCTACGCTTGGTATGAATTCTTTTTACTTCAAAAAACCATCACATAATTAGAAACAATATTCCAGCTTGCTAACTTGTAAGGTTGCTGAACTCAACAGTATTACTTTGATATCATAACTTTAGATTTCCTCAGTACTTCACTCTTTGAAAATGATGAGTTCTCGGAAGCAACTCAGGAAATAGCACACCAGCAATCGCGGTAACCTATTTGCAGTGTTGGCCTTATAGCATCATCAGAAATTTTCGGTTTTTCATAGAATAGCTGAGAGACCGAAACACTTTTGCTGAACGAGCACAGTTCAGGTTCGGGTAAAGCTTATTTGCTGTCGAAGAAGGCAGTAACAGAATTTGGTGCCTATGCACCGCTCACTGAATCCGGAGATATCATTGCCAACAACGTTTATGTATCTTGCCATGGCCATCTCAGGTAAACTTTCTTCTATTACACCAGAAATGCAAATGTTTGCTAGCAGCTGCTAGGATTATCGAGAGTGCGGCAAGGTGGTTCTTCTGGAACATATGGAGCAGCGCTGCTAGATTCCCTGCTCTGCCTTTCATTTGTCCACTTAGTGGACATCGCCTGCATTGCGTGTTAACTGGTAATTCCTAGTGCTAATCAAAAAATAAAAGAAAAAAAAAAGAAAATTCACCAATAATTGACTGTGCAAAATCTCTCTCTACAGAAGCCTTAAAACACCGAAACTTGCACTGCATCCCTGTGTGCAACGTTCGCCAGTAACTGCCCTCCAGCACCTTTTGGACATTATACTGGCTGCGCACGAAAATTTGACTTTTTGATTTTCAGGCCAAGCCATTTGGCTCATACATTCGTTTATTGGATGCAAGCAATCCAGCGATGGTTCTCTGGCGAAAAATCACAAAAAAGGATCGATTTGCCTTTTGGCACACACTTCTTCCTGGAAATACTCGAGTATATCATTCCGCTTTCATAACTGCTCAATTCTCCAACAAAACTGTCCAATCTTTCCGGCGCTACAAAATTGCTTTAAACGGCTAAATACAAAATGTGAATGGCTTAGATAACAAACTGTTTACACTGCAATGCGTTCTGTGCTGCAACAGTTGTGCAAAATTCACATTTTCGAGGCCATATCTGTGTGTAATTTGCGTGGGTTATTCTCATGGTGCATTTCATTCGGCTTATTTAATTTAAGAGCCAAAAAAGATAAAGCCGAAATTTTAAAAGGATAATCCGTGCGTGTGTGTGATCCCACAGATATAAATTCAGTCAGGTGAAATTTTGACGGGAAAACCCACAAATTCAGAACTAGAAAACTACGAA